TAGGTGGCCATTTAGAAATACTTGCCTTTCTCTAGTTTTCACATGCAATTTCTGTGATTTCTATGCTTGTTGCTGTTTTCGTTTCCCCTGTTTCACACTGTCTTCCTGAGAGTGCGCTCAACAACGCTCCTGAATGTGAAAGGGCTGTGTCATCTCACAGACGCCCACCTCGCCCACATGTCAACCATGACTCACCTCAAGCACGTGCACATCGAAACAGCATCAGGATTTACCTCTGATGGGATTAAATGCCTTTACTCTCTGCCACATCTGGAGCGGCTGGAGATGAAGGGTAGCGCTGTCACAGATAGCACGTTGGATGGCATTGGTGCGGTTAGCAATACCTTGAAGCTTCTGTATCTTAGCCGCACCAAGGTGACTGATGCAGGAGTGCCCCACTTGACTAGCCTTCCGTCCCTCAAGATGTCAGAATACTGAACGAGAATGAATGAACTATGAATGAGTTGGGTACGAGTACTAACCCTAATTGGGTTGTTCCCTTTATGGGCTACCCCACTACAGTCTACACAATATAAGCACTATAACATTTTGACACAAGACCCTGATACTTTACGAGTGCGAGGCGTGTCATGTGCCGGCATGGTGCACGTGGGGAATTTGACTAGTCTGGAGGAGCTGTATCTCAATAGTACCGAGGTTAGGGATGAGGGGTTGCAGTATCTGGCTCCACTCACCAAGCTGCGAATGCTTACTCTTCCAGCAAGAGTTTACCGACGCTGGCATGGAGCATGTTCAGCTCCTAACCGGGTTGCACTTGTTAGAATTGCGGAATTCTTTTGTGACAGCAAAGGGTGTGCAGATGCTGAAGTGCTTGCTTCACTTGAAGCAGGTGAGGGTGGAAAGTGGGAGCACGCTGCAGGCTATTGTGAAGTTAGTGCTTCGTGGAGTCGATGTGAGCGATGCTGTTGTTGGAAACGAGCAATTTAACGCTTATGGAGTATCAAAGTAATAACATGAACGAAGCAGACTACAGTGAAGCAACACGCGAGTCAACAAACGTAACAGCTGGAGGTTACGCGAAGGTCAAAGGTCAGCGACCTTTGACTCGACGAAAATACAGCGCGACAGCAAGGACAAACAACTGACTCGGTATTGAGCAGTTGCCCAAGTCGTCACTGTATCGAACCGCAACAGCAAAACAGTTAGTTGCACCCTTTCGTATTCCTTGTAATGTTATAAAAGCCTTTGTATTACCTTGCTATAATCAATTCATCTTGCTCTCACACACTAGTGCAAGGTGGTTCGACAATATTACTATACGCTTCCGCAATTACAACAACTCTACCTAAAGTCTTAGCCTTGAAATGATCCTAAGGGCTTTTTCTCAGCCCAACATGGTATGAGAGCCTCCAAGGCAAGATCAACTACTCAAACTCCTACAACAGCACAAGGCATGGCAACTCAGAAGGAGAGGAGTTCCTCCAACGGATCTCCTGGCACTACTCCTACTCCACCTCCAGCTTCTGGCCTACAGACAGAGGAAGGCACAGCAACAAGACCAGCTGCGGAGTCTACTGAAACTCCCGGGAATCAAACAACAGGCTTCGACCCAAGGATGATGGAGAATTTTTTCTCCTTCATGTCCTTCTACGAGCAACATCAGCAAGCAGCACATGCGCAGTCAAACAACAGCGACAACAACAATGGGGTTACTTCAATGAGCCTTGACGATTCATCCTATGCGCGCGGAAACAAGCAGCAACCTTCCTTTGCCCCGTACGAACCTCAACGTGGCTCCATCAGCTTCATGCCACACCAACAGCCTTCACCTGGACAAGAGAAGATACTGGACACGCTTCAGGTTCAATCACAGTTCGCACACGTTTGAAACTGCAAACATCGACACCCTTTGACGAAAAGGACTTCTATACCTGGTCATTCGAGTTTGAGCTAATGATGGAAGGCGCGCAGATTCTCGGATTTTTTGACGGATCCCTGCCATACCAAACACACAGGACGCAGTACGAAAAGCAACAGTACACGTATCAGTCACTGATGGCGTATACAATTCTTCTGCGAAACGTAACTCCGAACAAACAGCAGAACATCCAGTCTTATCGAGGGTACGGCAACTCCGCCGAGCTCGCGTACAACCACCTGAAGGACCCGTATCAAGCAACAGACAGTGTTTATCAAAGTCGTTTCATGGCACAGCTGACAACAGTGGAAATGAAACCCAGTGAAAAAGGGATGGCGTATATCAGCCATTGTCGTGGACTTCGCGTCAGACTCCTTCGATGCGGAGGATCGACATCCGAAGAAGCCTTCGTAACAGTTATCATTGCTGGCCTCGGTCCTCATTGGCGCTCCACTCGAGCTATCCTTCGAGCTCACGAGAAGATCTCCGAAGCGGCACTCTGCGCCGAAATTCACGCTGAACAGCAGGATATGGACCTACACGAAGAACGACACAAAACGAGAGCGTCAGCACCAGAGTTCGCGTTTCACACTCAACGGCGCTACAACAACAATCGACAGAACAAACATCAAGCTCAACAGTACGTACCACCGTTCTGCCATCTCTGCAAGACCTCAGGACACCCTCGCACTCACTGCCCGAATCAGCAGCAGTCAACTCCGCCGCGACGACAACTTCGGCCATCAATCAGTCAAGTGGCTTCTACACAGGCGCATCCCACCAAACAAGTACAGTCCTCAACAACATCGACGACAAAACCTGCACAAGGCACAAGAAACATCGTGAGCTGCATGACAAGAACGACAGACTCCTGTATCGCCGGATCACCACCATAATACTCACCAGAAAAACAGCTCGACGAGAACACTCCTCGCCGCGAATCACTGGAGCGCAACCTGACGTATGCAGCCATCGCCCAGAGCGAGCCGTCCGGGAAAGACACCTGGTTCTTGGACAGCTGCTGCGGATAGCACATGTGCTCCTTGGGTCGCTTCGTTCAACAGGAACACCAACTTCACCGCGAAGTCGTAATCACCGTCACCAACAACCAGAGCCTGCACACACGTCGACATGGGATAGTTCAACTTCAATCTCGAGAAACCAACGTTATTCTGCAAATGTCAAAGGATTTAATCGCGGAAGGACTCGGTTATAACTTACTCAGCGTCAGTCAACTAATGGCGAAGGGAATTCATCTCGAAGCAAACAGCACCACTCAGGAGTTCAAGCTGTACCACAGGAAAGGTGGACTCTACATCGCCAAGGCAGTATTGAAGAACATTTTTTTTCGTTCTTGACTTCGTTCCAGACCAAGGCACCGCCGACAGCGACGCCATCGTCAACTTCACCTCTTGGACACATTCGCCAGATCTCGACCCCAACTTCAGTCCTAGAGGATTTTCGTACTCACACACCATACATGAAGCAGAAAGAACAAGAGCGTTAGCAACAATTCGGCAAGCAGAGACAACATTGGCAGCAGCAGAGACAACATTGGTGTTAGAATAGTAGCTTGACTTAGGAACCATGGCTAGGTTGGAAGCTAAGCATTGAATGTCGAGAGAGTTGAGTGTCGAGGGTCGAGAAGGAGAATGAGATGTTTCACTATAGAAAGTTGGGATACAAATAGCAAACCCTAAATTGGGTTGTACTCACTACAGAGTACCCCACTGCAGGCTAAACAACAAATATATTCTGACACACCCCCATAGTCAAAGTGGGGTATAATTAGCAGAGCAAGCAGTTATAGAGAAGGTTCACCAGTACAAGCAAAGCGAGAGGCATTCACAAAGGGCAAGTGAGGAGGAGGAGGCTGGACTGTGAGAGGAGAGGAGATAGGAGGCGACGGCTGATGCTGCACACACACGGGCAACGGGAGCGGCGCGCACGGTGGCTAACGGAGCAAGGGCCACGGACTACAGGAGTAACTGGCTCTGCGGCTAACTCTGAGCGGTAGGAGCAATGGACCCATGGGCGACAGGCGCAGCAGGCTCTATGAGCTACCAGAAGCAGAGCCCCGGACTACAGGTGCTGCGGACGACAAGACGGCAGCCTCCGCTCAACCTCCCCCAACTGTCCCACCCCCCTTACACACACCCCTTGCTGCACCCCTAGCTCCACTCCCACGTCACCCCCCTAGCACCACTTCCTCGGCTCCCACAAACCCACCCCCTTCAGCGGCAGCTGCAGCAGTGGGAGACGAAGGTGGAGGAGGAGGAGGGGACGGTTCACACACCCGCCACCCCCATACCCGCCACCCCGCATTTGCACCCACACCCGCCACCCCCATACCCTCCCCCCACTGCTGCACCTGCAGCAGGGGATGGAGGAGAAGGGGGGGAGGGGGGGGGCGGGGGGGGGGCTGGTGCAGCAGATCCCCTCCCCCCCACTGCTGCACCCGCAGCAGGGGGAGGTAGGAGAAGGGAGGGGGGGGGGGAGGGGTGGGGCGGGGGGGGGGGCTGGTGCTGCAGATCCCCTCCCCCCCCACTGCTGCACCTGCAGCAGGGGGGAGGTAGGAGAAGGGGCGGTGCAGGAGCCGCTCGGGCGACAGCAGGTTGGCCACACCCGCCAACCCCATACCCTCCCCCCAACTGCTGCACCCGCAGCAGAGAGATGGAGGAGAAGGGGGGGGGGGGGCGGGGGGGGGGGGCTGGTGCTGCAGGTCCCCTCCCCCCACTGCTGCACCCGCAGCAGGGGGAGGTAGAAGAAGGGTGGGGGGGCCTGGTGCTGCAGATCCCCTCCTGCCTCCCCCTGAACCTCCAAGCTCCCCCCCCCTCTCCCAACACAAGGTGCGGCAGGGAGAGAGAGAGGAGGAGGCGTGGCGGCAACTGCTGCTGCTGCTGCACATCCGCCACCCCCTCACACCCTCTCCCCGCCATCCCCATGGAGGGGGGGGAGGGGGGGGAGGGGGGCGGGGGTGGAGCTGCGCGTGCGACTGTAGGGCACGCGGGTAGGAGGAACCCCCTCTTGCCACCCCCTCACCCACCATGTTGCAACAGGGCACCGGGGCCGCGGTTTGGGCGGCAGGTCGCGAGGGGCCATGGCTAGGGGCGACGGGGCCATGGCTAGGGACGGGGCCGGGCGCTGGGCAGGTACGGGGCCGGGTGCTGGGCTAGGGACGGGGCCGGGTGCTGGGCAGGTACAGGGCCGGGCGTTGGGCAGGTACGGGGCCGGGCACTGGGCAGGTACGGGGCCGGGCGCTGGGCAGGTACGGGGCCGGGCACTGGGCAGGTACGGGGCCGGGCGCTGGGCAGGGACGGGGCCGGGCGCTGGGCAGGTACGGGGCCGGGCGCTGGGCAGGTACGGGGCCGGGCTCTGCGCAGGTACGGGGCCGGGCGCTGGGCAGGTACGGGGCTGGGCGCTGGGCAGGTACGGGGCCGGGCGCTGGGCAGGTACGGGGCCGGGCGCTGGGCAGGTACAGGGCCGGGCGCTGGGCAGGTACGGGGCCGGGCGCTGGGCTGGTACGGGGCCACGCGCTGGGCAGGTACGAGGCCGGGCGCTGGGCTGGTACGGGGCCACGCGCTGGGCAGGTACGGGGCCGGGCTCTGGGCAGGTACGGGGCCGGGCTCTGGGCAGGTACGGGGCCGGGCGCTGGGCAGGTACAGGGCCGGGCGCTGGGCAGATACGGGGCCGGGCGCTGGGCAGGTACGGGGCCGGGCGCTGGCAGGTACAGGGCCGGGCGCTGGGCAGGAACGGGGCCGGGCGCTGGGCTCTGAACTGGGGCCGAGGGGCCAAACAAGGGGCTGGGCGCTGGGCGAGGGACAAGGCCGGGCGCAAGTGTCGACGGGCCGGGGATAGGTACGGGGCCGGGCTCTGGCATCGACGGGCGCGGGCTAGGGAAGGGGCCGGGCGCGGGGCTAGGTACGGGGCCGGGCGCTGGGCTAGGAACGGGGCCGAGCGAGGGCTAGGTACGGGGCCAGGCGCGGGTATCGACGGGGTGCGGGCTAGGTACGGGGCCGGGCACGGGTGTCGACAGGGCGCGGGCTAGGTACGGGGCCGGGTCGCGGGCTAGGTACGGGCCGGTCGCGGGAGTCGACGGGGCGATCGCGGGCTAGGTACGGGCCGGGCACGGGCGTGAGAAAGGGCTGAGCGCGGGCTAGGTACGGGCCTATCGCGGGCTCGGTACGGGCCAGGTGCGGGCAGGAGACTGGGCCGGGCGCAGGCTAGGTACGGGCCTATCGCGGGCGAGGTACGGGCCGATTGCAGGCTAGGTACGGGCCGGGTGCGGGCGACGGAATCGACGGGGCCAGCGGGGCCGAGGGGCCGAGCTAGGGGCGACGGGGCCAAGGGGCCGAGCCTAGGGGCTAGGGGCGACGCCAAGGGGCGACGGGCCGGGGCCTAGGATAGCAGGGCATTAGGTGGTGGGCCCAAAGATGTGAGGTCCTAGGAACAACCTACTCTGATAGCATGTTAGAATAGTAGCTTGACTTAGGAACCATGGCTAGGTTGGAAGCTAAGCATTGAATGTCGAGAGAGTTGAGTGTCGAGGAAAGTCGAGAAGGAAGAATGAGGGGTTTCACTATAGAAAGTTGGGATACAAATAGCAAACCCTAAATTGGGTTGTACTCACTACAGAGTACCCCACTGTAGGCTAAACAACAAATACATTCTGACACCACCCCCCTTTCACACACCCCTTGCTGCACCCCTAGCTCCACTCCCACGTCACCCCCCTAGCACCACTCCCTCAGCTCCCACACACCCACCTGCCTCAGCGGCAGCTGCAGCAGTGGGAGACGGAGGAGGAGGAGGAGCAGGGGACGGTACACACACCCGCCACCCCCATACCCGCCACCCCGCAGTTGCACCCACACCCGCCACCCCCATACCCTCCCCCCACTGCTGCACCCGCAGCAGGGGATGGAGGAGAAGGAAGGGGGGGGGGAGGGGGGGGCCTGGTGCTGCAGATCCCCTCCTGCCTCCCCCTGAACCTCCAAGCTCCCCCCCCTCTCCCAACACAAGGTGCGGCAGGGAGAGAGAGAGGAGGAGGCGTGGCGGCAGCTGCTGCTGCTGAGGCACATCCGCCACCCCCTCACACCCTCTCCCCGCCATCCCCATGGAGGGGGGGGAGGGGGGGGAGGGGGGCGGGGGCGGAGCTGCGCATGCGACTGTAGGGCACGCGGGCAGGAGGAACCCCCTCTTACCACCCCCTCACCCAGCATGTTGCAACAGGGCACCGGGGCCGCGGTTAGGGGCGGCAGGTCGCGAGGGGCCATGGCTAGGGGCGACGGGGCCATGGCTAGGGACGGGGCCGGGCGCTGGGCAGGTACGGGGCCGGGTGCTGGGCAGGTACAGGGCCGGGCGCTGGGCAGGAACGGGGCCGGGCGCTGGGCAGGTACGGGGCCGGGCGCTGGGCAGGTACAGGGCCGGGCGCTGGGCCGGTACGGGGCCGGGCGCTGGGCAAGTACGGGGCCGGGCGCTGGGCAGGTACAGGGCCGGGCGCTGGGCAGGTACGGGGCCGGGCGCTGGGCAGGTACGGGGCCGGGCGCTGGGCAGGTACGGGGCCGGGCGCTGGGCAGGTACGGGGCAGCGCGCTGGGCAGGTACGGGGCCGGGCGCTGGGCGCGGAACGGGGCCGGGCGCGGGCTAGGTACTGGGCCGGGCGCGGGCTAGGTACGGGGCCGGGCACGGGGCTAGGTACGGGGCCGGGGCGCGGGCTAAGTACGGGGCCAGGCGCTGGCGACAGACGGGGCCGGGCGCGGGCTAGGTACGGGCCGGGCGCTGGCGAGGGACGGGGCCGTTCGCGGGGCTAGGTACGGGCCGGGCGCGGGCGAGAGACGGGGCACGGGCTAGGTACGGGCCGGGCGCGGGCGTGAGACAGGGCCGAGCGCAGGATAGGTACGGGCCTATCGCGGGCTTCGTACGGGCCGGGCGCGGGCGTGAGACTGGGCCGGGCGCGGGCTAGGTACAGGCCTATCGCGGGCGAGGTACGGGCCGGGCGCGGGGCTAGGAACGGGCCGATCGCGGGCTAGGTACGGGGCCAGGCGCGGGGCTAAGAACGGGGCCGAGCGCGGGCTAGATACGGGCCGATCGCGGGCTAATTACGGGCCGGGCGCGGGGCGACGGAGTCGACGGGGCCAGCGGGGCCGAGGGGCCGAGGCAACGGGGCCAAGGGGCCGAGCCTAGGGGCTAGGGGCGACGGGCCGGGGCCTAGGCTAGCAGGGCAGTAGGTGGTGGGCCCATTAAGATTAGGTCCTAGGAAAGTGTTGCTCTTAATACCATGTTAGAATAGTAGCTTGACTTAGGAACCATGGCTAGGTTGGAAGCTAAGCATTGAATGTCGAGAGAATTGAGTGTCGAGGGTCGAGAAGGAGAATGAGATGTTTCACTATAGAAAGTTGGGATACAAATAGCAAACCCTAAATTGGGTTGTACTCACTACAGAGTACCCCACTGCAGTCTAAACAACAAATATATTCTGACAATTGGCAGCAGCAAAGACAACATCGGCAGCAGTAGAGACAACATTGGTAGCAGCAACAACAACTACAACACCAATCGCGGGTTCTTCAACGACACCAGCTCTCATCGACGATACTCCACTGACTCCTGCACAGCAGTTGACTCCCACTCCACGAGAAGTCAACAGAAGCGCCAACTTCACCATCGGCTTCTATTCCAACTCCGACCTATACAGGTGCTCACCAGGACACCGTGCGAGCGAATCACTGTGGCACTAAAGACTGGGTCACCCAAGCAACACAACGTTAAATAACACAATCAAGGCAGGAGTACTCGACAAAGACTCCCTACTTCTAACCGACGGCAGAGAACTTCAACGAGTTCGAGGTACATGTTTTACGTGCCCCGAAGCCGACTTACCTCATCAACCGTTTGTCTCTCACCACAATCCGAGCGCACCAGTTTACGCACCATTGGAAAAAGTCTACAGCAGCATCTTGTATGCCCGCGAACACGGACAGGGAGCATACAACTATGTCATCACTTTTATCGACGCTGCTACCCGATACATCTGGCATCTCAACCTTCCTAGTCGCGACATGGCCTTCGAAGCCTTCGTCGCCTAGCTACCTGTGGCAGAACGAGAATCAGGAGTGAAGCTAAAAAGCTTCCAGTCAGACGGGGGAGGAGAAAATCAGTCCCAAAGGTTCAAACAGTACCTCGCAGAACGAGGCATCAAACGACTCATCTCGCTTCCCTACGCCCATCAACAGCAAGGTGTGGCTGAACGGATGAACAGAACCCTCCAGAACACCATGCGCAAACTGTTACGTGGCATGCGACTGCCAAACCACCAGTGGCTCGAGGCGATGGACCATGCTGTCATGCTGCACAACTTACTCTCGTCATCATCACTCCCGAACAACGCATCACCGCATCTGCTGTGGACAGGAAAACTGGGCAGCACAAAAATGTTACGAGTATTCGGCTGCATGGTACAGTATTGACGCCCAGCTGCACGAGCCGGTCGATTCTCCCAATGCGCACAGTGGGGGCTACACATGGGCATTGAAAAAAATTACAACGCTTGGAAGATTTTCGACATCCACTCAAAGGAAACGAACGTGATGTCATTTTCTATGAACGACTCTCCCTTCAAACGTACCTGGATAACCTGGCAGCATATCGAGATCTCACGGGCGGCTTCCGTGGCAACCGAGCCTTCGCTTCGGCAGCAGATGAAGCTGACTGGGATGAGCAGAACGTGGACGGAGCTTCGGAGGAATCCGGATCTCTTCCATACTGCTCAGTGGACATTCCCATGGACGACGACAACCCTCGCGAAAGTGTCAACGCCGAAGTCTACTACGAATTCGCCGACAACGGTTACGTTACACCCCAACCGGTCGACACCAATATCTCCGAACGCATAGGGCCCAACTTCTTACCTGATCCAGAAGCAGGAGATGAAGCAGCTTATCCCGAGGACGCAAATCTCCCCCGCTATACACAGAGTGGGCTGCAGATACTGGGACTCATCACCGCTGTCCACGGAGCAACACCACCTAAGGAGCCTGCCACTATTCAGCAGGCTCTGGGGGGGGAACACAAAGAAAAATGGCGCGAAGCCATGGACAGAGAATTAAAGGCATTGCAAGAACGCAACACCTGGAAAGTCGTGCCTATTGGAGTGGCACGCAACAAGACCATTCTCACAGGAAAATGGGTCTTCCGCGTGAAAACGAAAGCTGACGGGACAACAGACAAATTCAAGGCACGCTGGGTCGTGCGCGGCTTCGACCAAGAACACGGACGAGACTTCACCGAAACATTCGCACCAGTTGGCCGACACACCTCACTACGGATTCTCCTCGCGATAGCCGCCATGAAGCGGAAGAAGCTCCGCCAAATCGACGTCACCAACGCCTTTCTGTATGCTCCCGTCGACGCCAAGATCTTTGTCGAACAACCACACGGATCTAACGCAGACCTCAATCAAGTCTGTCAGCTGCAAAAATCACTGTACGGCATCAAGCAAGCCCCGAGACTGTGACAGCAGTACCTTCACGCCCGACTAATTTGCATCAGATTCTGTCAACTACCGCATGACCAAGGAATGTACCGACTCACCAAAGGGACCGACTACATCCTGCTCATCGTCTATGTAGACGATCTACTCTACATAGGCTCCACTGACGGCATAACAACTTGGTTTGAAGGGGAGCTACAGCGGGATCTCACACTCACTGTCTCGTCTACCGTGACACTGTACCTGGGACTCAACATACAAGATGGGGAAAAAGGGATCTACCTCAGCGCCGCAAAGTACGCCGACACCATCGCCAAACGCTTCAGACTAAGTCCAGCTACTATCACCACGCCATATTGTTACACCGACGGAAATCGCAAGGAAATCTCCGCGCCACTCAAATTTGCCGGCATACGCGACTACCAACGAAAGCTAGGCTGCCTCCTCTTTGCAGCCGTCACCTGCCGACCAGATCTATCATACTCAGCGAGCCAGCTCGCCACCTACCTCAAGAAGCCCACAGCCGAGCACATGGCGGAACTCGATCGCGCTCTACACTACCTCGTCAGCACCCCGACAGTCAGCCTAATCTACCACAAAACTGAAACCACGACACCTAAATTAATCGGCTACGTCGACGCCAATCACGCCGGAGACCCAGACAACAGGCGACCTCGCACTGGCTACATCTACCGACTCGAACCTATCGGCCACATTTCATGGCAGTCGAACAAGCAAGAGCTAATCGCTCTCTCCTCAGCTGAATCAGAATACATCGCACTTTGCTCAGCCACCAAGGAAGGATTATACCTTCACGAACTGATGGAAGAAGCAAAGATGGCTCAGTTACCCAGCTTCTCCCTCTTCTGCGACAATCAATCCGCAATTCGCATAGCAATCAAGAGCGGGTTCGTGAATCAAACGAAGCACACCGCCCTTTGGTATTTCTTCGTGAAGGACGAGATCGAGAAAGGAAGACTCGAGCTATCCTACTGTCCCACGTCCGAGATGGCAGCAAACTACTTCACCAAGAAACTCGGAAAGCAGAAATTCGAGTATTGCATGCTGCAGACTGGACAAGGCCACTGTCAAACATTATATGTTTATATTGTGTAGGCTATAGTGGGTTTAGCCTTAGGGGGTACAGCTTTGTTAGGGTTTCCTACTTGTATCCCCCTCCTACCTAGTTTCATGCATTCTCGTTCTATTCTAGATTCTAACATGGTATCAGAGCAGGTCGATCCCCTTGGGTCGATCCTGTGGGTGGGCCCACCACCTCACTGCTTCCGCTGCTACTGCTACTCTGTGTGTTGCACGCCCCGTGGCGTGCGACGGATTTTTCATCCCGCCGCGCGCTCGGAGCGTGCGGCGGTTTTCTGCCCGCCGTGCGCCCCGAGGCGCGCGGCGGTTTTCTGCCCGCCGTGCGCCCCGAGGCGCGCGGCGGTTTTCTGCCCGCCGTGCGCCCCGAGGCGCGCGGCGGCTTTCTGCCCCGTCACTCCGCGCGTCGCTCCCGGGAGGCGCTGCGACGGGCGACGGGGACCCGCGCGTCGCCCCCCGTCGCCCGTCGCGGCCTGCGCGACCTGCGTAGGGCCCGCGCGCGGCCCGTACAGCCTGCGCGCGGCCCGTACGGGCTGCGCCAGGCCCGCGCGCGGCCCGTACGGACTGCGCCAGGCCAGGGCGCGCCTCGGGCCGCCCGCACGCGGTTCGTACGGGCAGCGCCAGGCCCGTGGGCGCCCTGTTTTCTCTGCCCCTGCGCTGCCCGCTGTCCCCCGTGCTTCTGACGGCGCCCCACCCCTGCTGCTGCCCGTTCTCCTGAATTAGGGTTTGGGGGTGGGGGGTATGGGGGTGCAGTTTCTGTGCGTCGTCCCCTGCTCCTCCTCCTCCTCCGTCTCCCAGTGCTGCAGCTGCCGCTGAGGGGGGTGGGTGTGTGGGAGCCGAAGGAGTGGTACTAGGGGGGTGACGTGCAAGTGGAGTTAGGAGTGAAGCAGTGGGTGTGTGGGGGGTGTGTGGGACAGTTGGAGGAGGTTGAGCGGAGGCTGCTGTCTTGTCGTCCGCAGCACCTGTAGTCCGGGGCGCACTGTCCTGGTAGCCCAGAGAGTCTGCTGCGCCTGTCGCCCGAGGGTGAGTGTGCTCTTGGCACCTTGTCTCTGGTCTTCCCA